AGTATAGTATAGTATAGTATAGTATAGTGAGTCTCAAAGTTGAAGTACATATAATATTAAATATTAGAGAATTAAATTATGCTAATTAATAAATATGTTTAGTGTAACTGTTCTCATCATACTTTTATTTATTGCATTATTACTAATGTCTGAGTACTTAAACCACAAAATGTCATCATTTACACAGTAATCAGATTTTTACCATTACTAGCCTTTTTTTTTTCTTTAAAAAAATAATCGTACCTTTTAGCAGAGAAACGTGTCCAAGTCAAGGTCGACGGTTAGGGAGGAAGACGTCTCAGACGGAGGAAGACTTGAGCTGCAAAAACAGGGTTGTTGTTGATTTTTTTTTTTCAGTAATGGAGAAGGAGTGACTTCAATTAAACATCCTTGCTCTACTTTCTCTCTGTTTCTTACTGTTCATCTCTTTTCAGCTTTGTTTCTCACACTGTGTCAAACAGGGACAAATAAACCTCTTAGCTGCTTATTAGTATTAAAAAAGGCCTAATATTTCTGAAAGTAATGCTTATCGCCCTCTGCCACGTTTCATGTCCGAGTTTTGACTAAAATCACACCATGATGAGAAATTATGATGTCATGCTCAGCATTTGCTGGTAATGATTCAGTATTTGTCAAATTAACTGAGTTACAGTTGGTTAATGTTGATTAGTTGTGGTGACCATCTTTAATTGGATTAACTTCAAAAGTTATTAGTTGTATAAATATATACATAAATATAAACATCTCTTTTTCCACTTAAATTCCTGTTTCTTAAAGACTTCCTGCTTAAGTTCTTGATGAGGTGAATGTTTGCTAGATTGATATTTACTGTAGTTTACAGTCTCTTGAAGTATGACGGCATATTAGGGCCACTTTGCAGATGACAAAAAAAAAAAAAAAAAAAAAAAAAGAGTAGGAGCAAATCTCCAAGAAAAACCTCTGAATTTCTGAGATTAATTTCAGAAAATTTTGAGAAAAAACAACAGGGAATTCAACCTGGAAAGACTCACACAGAAATATGTCAGTTAAACAGTGTTATTGATATGAGAAAGTTTTTTGGTGCTCGAGTCCCGGCAGAAGACGTGGGTGAAGCGAACTGCTGTGAGCTAGAAATCAGGTTAGGTTTTAGGAATAGTGTTTCCCACCCCCCGGGGCTCGGGCACCGGTGGTGCTGTGGAGGCCAGATGGAAGGGGTAGCCAGGAAGAGCCTGAGATGAAGGTGGAGGTGGGTTGAACGCGTCAGGAGAGCAGACTGATCCTTGGGTGCTGAGCCTTAAGTCCTGGATCCCTGTGAGCTGATTGGTGCGGTGATCTGACGCTGATTGACTGCAACTGGGAGCAGGTGAGGTGGAGAGAGTCTTCCAGTCTGAATTTACATCTAGGTTTCATTTCTCTTGTGTTGAAAGGTGGCAAATTTGCAAGAAAAAAAACTCAGAAATTTCCATAATTAAAGGCAGAAATTTGCGACATTTAAACTAAATATTTTCTGACATGGTAAAGTCAGAAATTTTCAAGAAAAAAACTCGTAAATTTATGAGAAAAAAACTCTGAA